ATTTTATTTACTATTTGGGGCATACTCGTATAGATCATTTGCTCTTGTCTTTAATATAACTTCAAGATTACTTGATAAAGTACCAAATTTAATATATCAAAATATATATACCATATACATATATACCACTTTTTTCCATACTTAAACAATTCGATTAGACCTTGTCTGCCCAAATTGCAATCGAATTAGACGCAAATCACGTTAGGCCCAAACTAGATAAACATAGTTTTGCCCCTCACATTGAATGTTGGCAACAATTTGGCTTGAATCGAAGCAAACAACCATCTAGACAACTCGATTATGGATGAGCTTTTCCCTATGGCCCAGTCGGTTGCATATGTGATTACGTGGCTGTTTTTGCCATTTGCATAAATAATACGAATTATTAATACAATTCCATGTAGTGTTGGCAAATTTTCACATAATAACTAAACGAAGTACAATTGAATATCCACATAAATATATATATATATATATATACATATATGTATATAGATGTTCGTATTTGTATGCCATTTGCTTTGGCCAGAGAAACATATTTGCTATGCAAATGATGACAGCCAAAGGCAGTTAACGGTCTGGGTGCTTGGGGTGGACTCCGATGGCCGTATGAGGTTTACCTGCCTGCAACTATGTGGTCTTGTTTGGCTAGCAAACATGGCATAACTCTTCGCCCCGCTGGCTATGCGATGTGTGAACATGGCAAGCATTTTAGCCAAAAACTAGCCGCAGCTATCAGTTTCACTCTCTCTCTCTCTCTCTCTCTTTGTGTTTAAGTGTATATGTATTTCCTTTTCTGTTTCTGTTCTTAAATCGTTCTGTTGCAAGTAAAATTCAAGCAGGCCCTACAGCTTGCATGCATAATTGATGCGTTTGGTATAAAGAGAAAAATCCTAAGCTCAAGAAAAACAACTAAAATTGTGTTTAAATTGACAAAACAAAGGATTGAACCAGCAAAATATAAACAAAATAAATATTTAAATATACTAATATGCAAATAGTATATATGTATAAAAATTAATAAGATTTCAACTAGGCTAAGACTAAACTTGTGTTTACTTTAGAATATTCCTACCATACTTCCAATAACCCTAAGGGTATTCCAAATTTAATGGCAAATCCTATTGCATACTATATACTTGACTTTTATACATATATATCAACAATATTACTAACTCTCTTATAGAAAACCTATTAATGCAACACATCAAACCATCTATTCTCTTACTCTTTTTCAACTATTCCAATTGGCCCGAGCAATTGCAATTGCTTTGGCACTTCAACATAAATTTCTCTTACACTTTGTGCTCATATTTCATCTTAAGCCACATAGGGAATCATTGCTCAGCTTCTTTATTGGACATCAGTACAATTTGTAGACCCTCATGAATTGTTGGCGCTGGCACTCTTGGCACTGCGAACGGCTGCATCAAAGATTAATGCCTTTTGGGCTTTGGCTGTAGTCATGCTTCTATAGACTGCACTTGCCACGCCCTCTTTTTGCACTTTGTGCGATAAACTCCCTTTGGTGATTTGTCATCGTAAACAATAATTCACAATATCCGCTTATACTTCGCTGATGGCCTTTGTGCTCTCTCTTTCTCTCCCATTCTCTGTCTCTGTTCGACATTCGCTGAAAAAAGCTTTTAAAGTGTCGGCCATTTTGTTTGTGTTTGCTCAAACACTTTTGGGTTCGCCCAACTTTGCACCGTTAATTGACTTGCTTCCGTTATGTAATTAAAATTCTGATTCGAGTTGTGCTCTGATGGACTCAACTAGCAAAATACCCTATAATTGCTATTTGACTGTGCGCCAAAATTAATAATAAATAAATTGAATGTATACAGAATATTAACATATTAATTTTTTACTATGAATCAAAAATAGAATATTCATAGGAAATTATATAAATAATATATTTTTGGGGTATAGCACATTTCTTTAAAAAAAATAAATAAAATAAAATGCTTGTATTGATTATAAATATTTTATTTTACTATTTACAGTAATAAAATAATTTTTTTTTTAATTTATAATAAATATTAAGTAATATGTATTTTTTTATATTTTTATTATTTTTAAAAAGAAATGCATTCTCTCGAAACTTTAAAGTATACGTATGAATAGCATAAATATTTATTGCCATATACTTTTCGTCGGAAATTCATAAGTTTCTAATTCCAATTCAAACTTCACTGTTCTTATTAGTTTGCACTGCTATTCATTTATGCAATAGATTGATAAGATTGTGCTACCTGGGTATAATTCTAGGAAATCGGCAATAGCTTCAGTGCTCAGCAGTCTGTCATGTCGAAAAGTCGACTCTTTGCTTCTCTTGTATTATTTCTATATGCTGTTGATTATCTGATTACTCACGCCAAAGGAAATCAGATAGCCGAAATGGCAAACATATTTCAAGAGAGCTCATTCGAAGAGGTGCGTTTCAGTTGATCATCAAGTACAGTTCGGATTGAGCAAGATATCTTACAGGTTGTAGACTACGGAGCCTTTGGAACGGCCGTTAGATGCAAATGGAGTGTGAAGCCCCTTAATACGGTCGCTCTTGTACATAACGCGTTCGATATTAACATAAGTGACACAGAATTGTTGCTTAGTCTCAATCATAAGAATGTTATCCAATATGCTAAAATTGACCCTGATCACATGCAACTGGAATATGCAGACTGTGGATCACTGCAGCAACTGCTGCATGGGGACGAGCAAAAGGAATATTCATTACGTAATGCCCTCGATTGGATGCATCAGGCAGCAAAGGTATATTAACAGTTGCATTTGCTCATCTGACACATTTCTCAATTCACGTTTTTTAGGGTTTTAGGTACCTCCATCTGTGGATTCATCCCATATCGATCAATTATAATTTGACGCCTGATTTTCTTATGCTAACGAATAACTATCGCCACTTAAAGATCCTTGTACTACCCAGTAAATGTAAAGAATATTCGCCGATGGCAACTAATAGAAGAAGTCAAAGAATTGATTATACAGGGAGCACTGATATATGCACTATGGGAATCACCATTTGGGAATTATTAACGCGTAAAAAGCCCTTTTATCACACTGATTATACAACGGATGAAATATTTGAGGCGGTGTTGAGAGGTATTTTAATTGATAATGCCATATGTATATCACATTACTGTTATCTTTATTTACTCAGGAGAACGACCGTCAATTACCAATATAAAAATATCAATCACCGACGAATTAAAGAGATTAATTCAAAACTGTTGGGACTCAAATCCATACAAGAGACCCTTTATCCAAGAGGTCATACATACGCTGAACCACATCCTGTGAGCGGCATATAAGAAATTTAAACATATGATCGATAAAACAACTATATGATTGCAGCACTCAAGAGGATACGGACCTTGATCAACTGCTGAAGGCCAATATCGGAGCGATCGTAGACTTTGAGGATATCAAGATCTGCAAGGTTGTATTAAAGGCCTATATTTACTGACAGATACGCCTATAGATAAGGCAAAGTTCTGCTATGATATAAGGTTCAAAGTTTTAAAATCTCTACAGCAAATTTGTTTAATTAGTTTAATATTCATGTTTTTTATTCACAGAAAATCAGGGAAGATGCCTTTGGTATTTCCCACAAGGCCATGTGGTTTGGTAAGGAGAAAACTGTCCGCAAATTCAAGGACATCGCCGAGCAATGGCTTCAACATCAATCTTTTGTACAGGAAATCAGAAGGAATATTGAGCTAAATAATAAATACTTAGTAAAAATTTATGGCGCCTCAATGGGAAACGAGTCTATCTATTTAATATCAGATTACTCAGATCGTAGATCGTTGCTCGATTATTTACATGGTGAGGAACAAAGGAAATATTCTGTCACTCGTGCCATTAATTGGATTACGGATGCTGCCGAGGTATGTTTATATCCAAGCTTGTATGGCTATTGAAATCATTTATCGATATATCGTATGTATCGGAAAAGTATTGAAGAAATAGAACATTATTGACTGATATTCCAAATTTAGATAGATAAAGCAATATAACTATCTATTCCATATTCTCTTATAGGGTGCTTATTTTCTCAACATACTAAGGCAATCAAATTATGTATTTATGAATTATATTTTAACGCCTCAAAATATGATTTTGTTTAACAATTTCACCCAATTAAAAATTAGTGATTATTGTTGCCCTTTTGACGCTGAAATTATGTTGAAGTCCACTTCGGAAGTAGCCTATATAGCACCAGAGGTTGGTACAATCATCTCTCAAATATATGTAATATGTATATTTACATTTGCAAATTCTTAGGTGCTTCGAACAAAAAGATTTACTTACCAGAGTGACGCATATAGCCTTGGAATTATCTTGTGGGAAGTTCTCACACGAAAAAAACCCTATTACACTGTCATGGATGTTCTTCCACAAAATTTATTGAAAATCATTCAAGGTATAAAATTTGAGACCGCACAGATACTCTTTAAACATTTAAACAGTTACAGGCATGCGTCCGACTTTCAGTGATATCAGAAAATTGGAACTCGAGACCTTAGAAGATTTTATTGAGCTTTGTTGGCATCAGGATGAACTGAAACGCCCAGATCCACATATTTGGTTTGTACACCTTGATAGACACTGGTGAGATCAGCGCTTGATTAACTCTTGATTTCAATTCAAATCATATAATATTATTATTTATATAGCACAGATACCAACAACGGTGATAAGATTATAGGAACATACGAGAAACTCAACTATGAGGATATTGAATTCATTGAGGTGACATTTTGTCTGCTGCCCTAAAATTTTATTGATGATTCTTCTCTGCTTCTATAGGCTATCGGAAGTGGCGGCTATGGTATAGTTTATAAAGCGAAATGGCTTCAGAATGTTGTCGCTGTCAAAATATACAAAAATATGAAAGAGACCAATTTCCGACATGAGGCCAAACAGCTAGCCCGAACTAACCATAAGAATATTATAAAACTATATGGCATATGCGATCACAATGGCTCCGCATATTTAGTCATATCCCACGCAGAGTGCGGATCCCTCTATAGCTACTTGCACGGAGACGAGCGCAATGAGTATACCATGGCAAGGGCCATAGACTGGATGATTCAGTTAACTCAGGTACAGTCTTATTCATGACAACATGTCTACATGGTTTTATTGAGCCTTTGCTTCCATTTATAGGGCATTAATCACTTGCATTCCATGAAGCCAAAACCGCTGATTCATCGCGACTTAAAAAGTCATAATCTACTACTATCCAAAAATTATCAGAAATTGAAAATTGGAGATTTCGGCACTGTGACGGACCTGAAAAGTCTGATGACGTGTGAGCGTGGCACTGCCGCCTATATAGCCCCAGAGGTAGTGCTGGTCCAAAATGTTCCACATAAATCGATTAATGAGACTCTAATACACATACACAGGTTCTCACTGGCAACAAGTATACGGAGAAGTGCGACATTTATAGCTTCGGGATAGTGCTCTGGGAGGTGATGGCGCGCAGGAAGCCATTTCATCACATGGAGAATCAAACTGCATGTGCAATTATATACCAAGCCTCGAATGGTAAACGGCCAACCTTAGGTGATTTGATACCGAATAGCGAGGAACTGCGGACTCTGATTGCTCATTGTTGGCATCAGGATCCCGAGAAGCGGCCCTCAGTGAAACAAATTAAACTCAACAATATTCCATGCGCTGATATTTCAATCAGAGTACTACGATAAATATTATATATACATATATCACTTGAATAAACCAACTCTGATAAAAGAAACTTCAACAGAAATGAAAAGTGAGAGACGGAGAGTAAGAGCGACAAGAAGAAGCCAGAGATTTTTCCCTTACGCTTTGCAATTGCATAACATCAGTAAAAGGCTTTTTAATTAAAGCAAATAAACAGTGTTAATTAAAAATGCGCATACGCATAATTGAATTGTAACTGAATCAGCACTCTCACACACACACACACACATGCTTTGCAATAAATGTCAAATATATGTATTTATATTTGCATCGCGTTGCGTGCTTCGATTGGCATTCATTATTAATATTTAATTGCAATTCGAGTGCTGTTTATTGAAGTGTTTTTGCCATTTTACATGTTTATCGCATTTGTATTCGTCTGCCTCCACAGTGTTCGCTCCTACTTGAATACTTCCTCAGAAATATTGTATATCAATTAATTTGGCTGCTAATTTTATTATGCTTATTAGTATTATTATAATTTTTTTCTTTCGGGCACCTAATTATGAGAGCAGAGCGCCAACCTAATTGAGATTTAATTAGTTTGCATTTTATTGTAAATATTTAATAATAATTTCCTCGCTCATGCACATGGCCAGATTAATTGAAATCTACTCAAATTAATTATTATGCGAATCGAAAAAGCAAAAGACAAAAACAAAATACATGGCATTGACTAGGCTTAGTCGCTGCTGTTGTGTTAATTAGCAATTGGCATTATGTATTTAATATTTAATGCAATCATATATAATATCCAATGAATTTTATGCGCTTAACTGAGAGCTCTTAATGTGAAAATTAAGATATTTATGCCGCCTGGCTGACTGAATGGCTGGCGGGCTAGCGGGCTGGCTGGCTGGGGGTGTGCCTGGCTTTTCGTGGCATATTTCCAGGGGATTATCGTACGAAAATCCCGTGGCTTTCATTTTAATATAAACAAATTGGATTTCCTTTCGGGGTTACACGATAATAAAGTGTAAATATCTTAAGGAATATTTAAGTGAAAGGAAACTGTTTTTGATTCCTAATTAAAAAGGCTATTAAAACTTAATTTTATGATCAAATATTTTCTACTAACTGTAGACAAAGATATACAATGAGCACTAACTTTCAATGTGGAATGAGTAGCAGCTTTGCTGAAGAGTCAGAGTATATCTTAGTCGAGCATTCCTTGCTTTACATTTCTTTCGCTTAATAAGCGAAAACTTTTCTACACAATATTCACTTCTTAGTTAATTCAAGTCTTTCTCTACAAACACTCAATGCTTTCATCAACTTTTCTATAGCTTTTCCTTATTTTCCACAAATTTTGCCCCTAATGCAAATTCAAGTAGCGAGTGCAAATTCGCACAAATTCGTACCGAATGCACTAATTCTTGAGCTTCTCAAGGAAAACTAAGTTAAGCTAAATCAGTTTTGCCTTTTACACAAAACCCTTGACCGGGCCCCAGTCAACGTCAGCTCCAACTCAAGTTTTTCGCAAATGCTTTTTCGCACTTAAATGACTTTCTTTTCGCTGTGCCAAAAATGCGTGGCAAAGCTGAAATGCTATTAGCTGAGATTGCCAGAGAGAGCGGGAGAGGAAGAGGGCTGGCGGTATATAGCAAAATTAATGAACTCAATGTGTCCAAAAAAGCAAGCTAAGATAAACTGAGAGACACAGACAGGACAGAAAGAGAGGGAGAGAGTGAGAGAGAATGCTAGATAAATGTAGAAAAGCTGACACAAAGCGCGAAAATTGGCAGATAGCCATAATGAAAATGAATGCGAAAATCTGACACTTTCACAAAAAGTTCATAAACTCTTTCACAAATTAGTATCAAATAGGTCGCCTGTCAAGTTGAAATCGGAGATTGATTGAGCAAAACATTAAAAATATATATAATATTATGAAATATATCAGATATCGAATAGCACGCCCTTTTTATCCGTTGGCTATTCAGTTCATCGTCTAGCCAGTAAATTGGAGATATATAAATATGTATTTATCAACAGTCCACAAATACCACAAAAACACATATATTTTAAGTGAAGTCTTAATTACACCTGACCGCAGCAAC